GTGTAGCTCACCTGCCATGTTTCAGGTTAAATTGTAGCCTGATGTTGCTATAATCAGGGTTATCCAAACAAAGGATCCGTACGCAATTCTTTGGAAAATGGATGCGCCCATTGGTAATTATAATAAGATGTAAGTTTTATTTTCTGGAGGCACAGATTGAACTCTCAAAACCTCTTCTAGTGGTTGCGTTGCTTTATCGCCTTCGAGGTCCGAAATCGCTGTGACAAACCTGGTCAGCGGAATAGATTTTTATTCCCTTAAAGAACGGAAACATATGGGAACCACGTATTATGACTTTTTGGGAAAATCAAAATCCAATCGTATAGCCAACATTGCGTACATGCGAGAAGACTTTGTGGTCGCGGGGTGTGTTGACGGCAAAGTGATATTCGTAGAGAATCGCCCTTCCGCTGGCCAACCTGCGGGCGGGTGGGAGGCTAGATCTGCGCACAATTATAGGTTGCTGAGAACGGACAAAGTTAAGATCCGCTGTGAGTCTTCATTCTGACTCACTGCGATAAAGACTTACTGACCTCTGTCCAGCATCATTACGACTCGTGAGTCTTATCTTGTGCCATAAACAACCTAGCTTACCAGGCTGTTAGGCATTTGGTGTTGTCAGAAGCGAGCCAATTATTTTCTACGCAGACGGAGAAGGGGAGAACCTTTACTATGTCGTTCTTTCTGTCCACTTTAAACGTCACCTTACCAACAAAGATGATGTCAAGGAGGCCGAGACGAGGGTACGTTCTTCCTCATATGATGATATCATTTAATCAGCTTCCAATAGCACGGGGATGTGCCAACCACGCCACCACAAGCGATGGTTAACAAAGATCCATCTCGGATCGTTCACAACCAACAGTCGAAGCTCTCTCACGCCTTGCCCAATGATCAGTCTGCCCAGATCCCTACGTCTGCTGTCCAACAGGTGCCTCCTATGGCGTCCAACCAGGCAGTTCCCATGATGGTGCCCGATGAAGTACCTCCCATCATGGCGCTTAACCAGATGCCTTCCATTGCGTCTAGTCAAGTCCTTCCCACTGAAGTGCCCCTCACGACATCCAATCAGGAGCCTCTCGTGGTACCCAATCAGGTCGACGATAGGTCGCTCATGGCGCCCACGGAGGTCTCCACTTCGTCGTCAGGCCACGTCAACGCCGCATCCGCACCCAATCAGGAACCTATCACTTTGTCCAACCACTCCTTTGGTGCCTCCACCCATGCCTCTGCCAACTCTTCGGACCAGGTTCGTTTCAATGTGTCCGACGTCTCTCTCAACGTCTCCGACCAAGTCCTTCGCAACGCCTCCGACCAAGTCCTTCGCAACGCATCCGTCCCTCCAATTGCAAATGCGTCCATCCCTCCCAATGCGTTCATCCCTCCCAATGCGTCCGTCACTCCTAATGTGTCCGTCATTCCTAATGCGTCCGCCTCTGCCACTACAACTCTCCCCCCCACAACCGCATCAACCAACATGTCTGACTTGAAAGTTACCCAGGCTCCTTCCGTCACTTCCAATCAAGTATCTTCAAGTACTAGTACCACCGACAAGGAGGACTCCTCTCCAACAGCGCGTAGTGGCCAACTCAATTCGGAGAATGACTTGCTATCATCGGAGAATGATTCGCACCATGGCCAACACTTTTCCACGGCTCGGAGGGTATCGAGAGCCTTAAAAGCTATTCTTTCAGCGGCCCTGGTCGCCTGGATTATTGCAGCCGGTTACCCATACATCTCTTCGAAATCTCTATCAAATTTGAAGCAAGCTCTTGACCCTTTCCTCCCACTGCTAAGTCAACCCACTGCGGTTGCGTATGATTCCGAGACTGCCCAATTTCTAAAGCCGAAAGTCGCGCTAGCAACTCAACCTACAGTGATTGCGCATGATCATGATCCTGAGAAAGTCGGATTGCTCGAGCCAACCACCAGGTTGACACCCGAGAGATACATGGAAGAATTTCAGCTCAGGGCAGCAGGCATCACTCAGGCTACGGCATGTACGCATGTCCCGTCGCCAACAGAATCTCCCGCCGTTAGTATCGTGGTCTGCACTGTCACGGAAACCGTCACAGTTACAGCCATACAATCGGTTACCATTACAACAGACCTAAATAGGCCCACAGTTCTTCCTGGCCCTGCCCCCCCTCCGAAGCTGACCAGTCCAGAGACGGCGAACTCAGGCTCAAGCACGAATTACATGTTTTATTGCTCTATTCTGCTCTGCCTTTTCTCGCTTCGCTTGCAAATTTTGCGCTTTCTTCCCCATATCAACAAGTTCTATCACCTTCTCCGCTACGCCTATCGCCTTCTCCACTACGTGTTTTGCCTGTTCGCCGAACTCACGCGCCCCGCTGAATACAACGAGACAAGCCCGGAAAAGGCCCTGAAGTCCGACGTAATGATCGTGGAGCCTGAGGGAGACTTGGAGCTTGAGGGAGACTTGGAGCAGAAGGCGGACGAGGAATTGGACTTGGTCAATATCAAATCTGAGGATGTGGATTCGAAATATTGAAGAATGACCCTCATGCCACCTCATTAACAGTCTATTGATCATGACTCGTATAGTTTCATTCTCTCATGTTCACCTTCGAATTCGTAGGCCTAGGCCTTAAATTTCATTTCATATTGATTCCGGAGTACGTACTAAGTATATATAGCTAGTATTTTACGTAGGAGTACTAGTCCTATGTTTTCACGATCTTGATAGCACTGATCATGATATCAGTGATGCCAAGTGCCAGTCACGATCTGATCTCGCCCTGCATGCCGTTGATCAAATTTAAAAGGGGGCGCTTTGTGGCCATATATATAGATAGATCTAGAACCAACATGTACAGAGCGTTTTCTTTCAGTTACGAGCACTAGCTATAGCTACGGCAGCGCAATGCGTCTCAGTACTATTAACGACCCCGATTTTCCCTCTACCAATTCATTCAGTGGCCCGGAAGTCCCCAATGTCATCCTCGACATCGTTTCTTTGCCAGGAAAGGACCGTCCAGCGAGGTTCCCGCCATTCCCTTCTGGCCGGATCGGTGACCCAGACGTAAGTAAGCTACGCTGGTACGGACAATAGACTATTTCATGCGTTTTATGATTAGACATTCACCATGGATTTTGGACACCTCTCTTTAATGGACTCAAATGCTCATGAAAGAGTTTCAAGCACAGAAGCCGTCAATCACCTTCCCCACAGTGCCATCACGCCGTCAATGCAACATGAGACACCTGTGGAAGCATCGATATCGCAGGTCATGAACAAGGAGTAAGTAACGTTTCCAACGCCAGCATGCAAACCGCAACGCTGGACCGTGAATGTACGCTGACTTGTTGATTTATTAGGCCTCGAAATGTTGAGCTTCGCATGGAAGAGAGCCTCCACACAGATCTAGAAGACGAGATAATTCAAATTCTGACAACAACTTGCACCGCTGATGCGACTGATATTGCTACATCAGCGTCGCTGATGGTTACACTGTCTGAAGAGAGTTCGAGCAAATCATTAGAAAAGATGGTCGAGAGTCTCAAGCCACATTCGAAGTTTCCCATAAGCGCGATAGCTGATAAGATCAGCGCAATTAGGGCTCCTGTTGCAGGAAGGCCCATTTCGGGGAGCGCTTCATCCAAGTAACTGCCTTAAAGTCACTATATCTGCTATATGTTCTGAACTTTTTTAGGACAGAGGAAGCACCACTCTCGTCATCAAGGCAATCACCCCAACCTATGGATGTGGACGATGACTCGCCAAATATGACAAAGGAACCGAGGTATGGTATCCTAGGGTTGATCCGTCATAATTCACTTTGATACCTGCTTATAGTCTTGCCATCGTCTTTGATCCTCCAAGCGGTGTCCACACAAAGGAGTTGTCGATGAAAATCAAACCCAAGCTAACCTTCAAATATGCGTTGACATATTCTCAAACCGAACTTTCAAAGCCCAACAAGGCTGCCGTAGCTGCGCTGCAAAGAAGTACAGGAAAGAAAGTAGAAGGCTTTCCGAATGTCGGAGACGTTTGGATCCACACCAACAGAAAGGCGGATAAATACTGGGTCTGGCAGTACATTACGGGAAGCAACAATAAGGACGGCTGGAGTGATTGTACGGCCTCATACGAACGGGATACAGGGACCATCATCCATCCGAAACACGCCAGCTACACGCTTTCGCGGAATGCTGATGCATCTCATGATGATCCAGCATATCTCACCACATCGTGGGTAGTCAGGCGACGACGGGACAACGAAATAAAGCGCCAAATGGAAGAGCAAGCTGCAGAAGCGGCGCGTAAAGTTGCTCAAGAACAAGCTGCAGAATTAGCACGTCTCGCAGACGAAGCCCGTAAATCTGCCAACTCTCAGCAATCCGCCAGCGCTCGCGTACCGTGGCGTGCACCCTCTGGTGCTAGCCAACCTTCGAGTTCTAGATCTCGTCGACGCCGTGTAACGATGGAAGAGATAACCGACGATGAAAACTAGGGCAGAGAAGGTGGTACCAACATGGTTGTCAGGTAGACGCACATTGTTGATCTGCTCAATTTGCTGCTCACTTTTATTGCACAGGTTCTGAGCTCATATATACTGAAAGTCGTCAATATATACAATGTACAATGTATACATGGTTGAATTGTTTTTGTCTCTTGCATGCCTTGAAACTGGGCAGAAAGCCGCTACGACACAAGCAGAGGCAGTGTGATGGATACGTCGTCATTCCCATCATACGTGAGTAAGAATTGGAGGGCGGTGTCTACCTAGGGAGGGACCGGGTGGATGAGGTTGATAGGTCCAGGCTTGGTAACTTTACTTTGCTGATGGTTGTGAGAAGCCCAGTAGCGATACCGCGCGTATGGTCTCTGCGTTGGGGTTGTGAGCATGTATACTTCGTTACGGGGCTACGAGATGACAATGCGTACTGGATGGGTAATATTGCGTAACGAATGTAGAAAGCCGGTAGGACGTCACGTTCGAGGATAATAACGGCAAGTGGGACTACTGCCTCACGTCAGTCGTCAAAAATAGACGTAAGATCTAGAAGAGGAGGACGTACGTGGAATGAGCTCTTGCATCGTCAAAGTAACAGTCAACGCCGCAGGATCAAGCATAGTCCCAAGAACAAAGGCCATAGTAAACCTTCGCACGAGGTACCCGTCGAACTTTGAGTGAGTATGGGAGGCTAAGCTCAGAAGGAGCCAAACGTGGTAAAAACAGGGCAGACCTTCCTCTAGAAAGCGCGCAGCAGCACCGAATCGGCCCATGCATTCACGCTCGCATTTCGTCTGTTGCGCTTGTCAACATGAGGGCAGCTGGTGACGGTGGTGAGCCAGTCGAATCTTACGAGAGCTCTTACTGTCTGGAAGACAACGTCTGTACCAGACAAATGTAAGAATGCAGGCGACGTCTGATATGAGAGGTGCCTCACCAAATGAAAAGTGATTATAAGGAGTTTAAGGTAAAGGCCTCGGGTACCGGTGGGGATCACTTGTTCATTTGAATGAGCATGCGGTGCATGAAGAACGGTGCGCTTACCTGGTCTGGGATGAGTGTGGTCTGGAGGAGAAAGGTGAAACGACGCCGAAAACTTCTCCTGACTTAGCGACTGGTAGAGGTGAGCGGAGCTCGAAGGCGAGGCCGAGGTTTTGAGTTGGTGTATCGTTATGAACATACACATCACGGGATAGCCTCCTTAATTCAATACAACCAAATAGAAAAATCCATACCTCAGCTTTTTTGACTGGTACCGTTTACCGGTGAGCTCCGAAATCTACAAGGACAAACCCTATAACTCGTCAGACACCTCTTGATCTAGATCTCTCCGGATCCTTGGTTCTTAATTCTAGAATCCTCTCAAATGTAAGCCTACTTTTTATTTCTTCGGTGACGGTTAAACCAACGTAGATTTACAGACTAAATATACTATATGCCTCCGATAGTCCTCTGGCAAACCAATCACCATGATGGCGATCATAGCGCCACGCTTCCACCAGAAGCGTTGGGGCTTATCTTTGAGAATTTGCGCGACATCTTGATGTCAACTGTCTATGATCTCGAGTTCCCCCAGGCCCACATGGAAGATATTCCCAGTGATCGTGGGATCAACCGGTGGATCGACGTTACCTTGGTCTGCCGTCGTTGGCACTGTGTTGCCCTCCTTTGCCCATCGCTATGGGCATACATATATGTCCCGGATTGTTCTTCTAATACCGCTCCACGCATGATGAGCATCTTTCTCAAACGATCACGTGCAACTCCATTACATGTCCATCTAAACCTTTCTGACGAGAGCTCTCAGGGCAACCCCCTCTTCCAGGAGCTGTCCGAGCACCTAGCGCGTGTTAAATCTTTGCGCCTCTACGGCGTCCCCATGCAAATGGATCATACATCTGAAGATTTCCTTTTCCTCGCCCATCCTGCGCCAATCCTCACGAACTTGCACATTTCTGGGGAAGGGGAAGGCATCATTCCTGATTCCACATTTCAAGGCCGCTGCCTGCCTGAATTGAAGAGGCTCTCCTTCTCTGGAGTTCATGCCTGGCCTCTTGCTTGCTTTACTCAACTCACACATCTATCGTTGGCTGATCAGCGATATATGGAACTGCGGTGGACAATGGGTGAATTTATCGAAGCCCTAAACGGTTGTCCGGGCCTCGTTGAGCTCCATCTCTTGATGGCGGGACCGTTGTCGTCAACTGATAAAGCCGGCACCCGCTCCCAGGGAGTTTTGTTGAACCACCTGAGCCAGATCAATTTCAGAGAGATTACCTGTGCAGACAATCCAGGAGATTTGCTATTCCACCTCAAATATCCCAGCTCCACTTTGGTTATACTTCAGCCCGAAGAGCCCTTCACCACTCCACTTTTCAAGTCAATGTTTACACCTCCTCTTCTTCCTCCCTTCCTTTCACATGCTCAATCTATGGAGATTATGCATGGAGAGATGGAAGCGCTCATGGTATGCGAAGACACGGTTTGTCTCCTGGTTTCCGACGCTGAAGATGGTTTATTTCCATTCTCTGATCTCCTTCACTTGTTCCTCAACGTGGTTATGCTAACCCTCCACTTCCCCGTTGTTATCGAGGAACCCTCTTGGTTGGAGGTACTGGAAACCGTACCAGCTCTCAACTTGCTCAGAATGGAGGGCCCTGGAAAAGAAACCATTCTTTGTTTGATGGATGTGCTCAGCTTGGAGGGTGGCCGTGGTCCTCTGTGCAATTCGCTGGAAGCGGTTTTAGTCTATTCACCGCAGGCAACAAACCTTGAAGGAGTGGCTAGCCGAGTCATCGTTCACGAGCGGCCGATGCCCTGCGTTCCGTGCCAATTCATTTTCCACCAGCAGGTCATGCCTGTCAGAGCCCCCAACCAAATGACCTCCCTACTTTGAGTAGCTAGCAGCATATATACACGTTTCATTCTAGCATCGAATCAAAGTCACAATAGTACTTGACTCTGCTGAGTCTGCTCATGAGTCATGTGGACGATCATGCAGTGTCACGTGAGAACTGTGACCGTCACCCTACAGAAGCGCGTCAAAATTTTTGCAAAATTTCAACAGCCATTGCCTCACCATATTCCCCGAAGACATGGTCCATTAAGCCCACCCTTTCGAATTTGCGCGACCGGTTATGCGGAATGGACGCGCCTGAAAACCTCCAAAAGTACGTAATTTCCCCCCCATTCCTCAATTCATGCCCACGTACGGCGAGTTCGAATCCGCTTTTGTATCCTGCAAGGTTTTGCCTTCAGCGCGAATACTCGAGCCCGGGAATACGTGTTTGAAGTCCAACCTTGTGAGAGTCACATCTGCAGGATTGATTATTTCGGGGCATCATTCAATGCCAATAGATGGTGCCCGGCGCGAAGCCCCTTGAGCGGCGGCAGCTATAAATATGAGGCTAACATACTCCCATTCCCATATAGAAACACGCTTTACATTCTACCAGGGAATCGTGATCTCGACTTCGATAGCCTTGTCTTACAAACCTTTCAAGACGTGTGCAATGGGGGCGACCCATTTGGCTCAAGCTCACCTCTCACAAGCCCGGAAGCATCGGCGCCGCCTTCTCCTACTCTCCTCGCACAGGAAGTGACTCCCACAGACTTCATCTCCTCAATGGACCAGCCAGGCTCAGGCCCCGTCCGTCCGACCAAGTCAAACCACGCCAAGCGTCAGAGCCATGGCAACCGGCGGAAGAGGCGCAAGGAGGAGAAAGACCACCAGAATTTAAATAATGAGGTCACCATATACGAGCCACGGGCATCCACCCGCCGCAAACACGTTCAACCATCTTCTGCCCTTCCCTTAGGTGTGGACAGCGAAAACCGACTCCTCGCTGCATCCACGGGCTATGTAGGCTCCAGGGGGTCTGGGAGGGGTGGCCGAAGGATACTCCCACTCCAGATCCTCATTGAGCCAAAGTCTTCCTTTGGGCTCGAGCTCAAGCAATGGGACGGAAGGTATGGCCCGATGCGCTCCTCCGTCAGCCCCTGACTTTCGTGTTAGGACCACTTTCCCAATCATCGATCGGAAGCGTCGCGTGATTGCTGTTCTGGTTGGTCGCCCCGACAATGACGTTGGTTGCTCGGGGGTTTCTCAGGAGTGGCAGCGACTAAATGACTTAGCCTGCCAAGCCCTGGAAGATGCTAGATCAAGACTCACCTTTGGCTCCAAAGAGAAGGTACACCGCCGTGGTCGATTTCCTGCTCTCGGTGTCGGTATATCTCACGGCGGCGGGCAAACTCGGCCTGGGAACCTCTGCCACTCTTTGCATAACACGCTAATTCTCCAGCAACTGCTTGCCAATGAGGCGTTCGTTCGATTTTCTGGGTTTGTGACCGGTAAGTTGCACCCTTCGGCGTTCAAACCGATCTGAGCTTCATTGGCCTCACTAGGAGCCTTCGGGACGTGGGCCCCAAAACTTCATGCCTATTACGTGGAAGCCCTCAACAAGTTACTCAAGCATGACCCGAAACTGTTCCTCAATTTTGTTAACGGCGTATGGGCTGCAGCCACCTTCAACTTCGGCCCAAAAACCGTCTGCTTCAAGCACAAAGACTTTGCAAACCTTTGGCATGGTTGGTGCGGCATAACGGCGCTTGGGAACTACAACCCACAGCTCAGGGGCCACATTATCTTCTGGCAGCTCGGCCTCATCATTCAGTTTCCACCAGCATCAAGCATTTTGATTCCTTCGGCATCCGTGGATCACCAAAATGTGCCCATTGGGCCAGACGAGCGCAGGTATTCCTTTACGCAGTACACTGCTGGTTCACTATTTAGATGGGTTGAACATGGCTTCCAAAAAGAAGACGAGTATCTTGAGTCATTGACGACGAAGGGCCGGGAGCAGGAGTTGAAGAGAAAGTCGGAATTGACGAAGAAGGGTTTAGACATGTTTTCTACAATTGACGAACTAGCTCATGTCCAGTAGTTTAGTTTCGAACAATGTCCACGCGTCCTCAACTGAAGCGACCGTAGAGATGTGGCGAAATTTTGAACAGAAGACTGGCCATGGTACCGGTCATCATCAAAAGCTGAGGTATGGATTTTTCTATTTGGACGTATTGAATTAAGAAGGCCGTTACGTGAGGTGCTTGATCATGATACATCATCACCGGCCCGTGTTTACAGCCTCTAGATCTCAGCACAACCTAGCCCACTCTGAAAACCTCCAATGCAGCACAGTGCTGGATCATCCAAACGTTCCAAAGTCGTCATATGCAGGTGTAAGTCGCACTGTACGGTTTACAATACGTCCACCGGTCTCTATGAAGGAGTGGGGCATCGTGTCTCTCGTCAAACGCGGGACAACCACAAAGAGGATGACAATCGCCTCCTATGGACGCGCAACGGTCGTCGACGCTCCCACATCTCTGTAACTAGCTCCTCGGTGTCCGGCTTGCCGCCGACGCAAAACCAAGTCGTGGCCGATCTTAGCTTGTCGGAGTGGATAAAGATTGTCAAGGAAGAAGTCATTTGGAGATCTGAGCTCCCCGTTTCAAATCCTGACACACCTCTCAAGTTCGTCAATGATCCCATGCAACACGGGGAATATGTACCGCCAACAGAGGCCCAGCTCTCGAGGCCAAACTGGGGCACGCATGCCCTCCTTAACCTGCCAGTCAATTCCCCTTATCTCGACAATGAGAATCGGCTCTGTGAGCTTCTCACTGTGCTAGCTCGTATGGAGCTCAGATCTGATGGTCGTGCTCTCATGGACCATATCCGCGAGGAGCTGCAACAGATGGATCGACAAAAAGAGCTACAGTGGGCGCAACAAAGGCATACCCATTCCCTCGACGCAGTCCTTGTGAATACTGGTATATTCCAGTACATTTACATCACTAGCTCGGACTGATGTGTCCCATATTTTCTCCAGAAATCCATTTCCATAAACGCGGCCCTCAGAATCCCATCGTAAAAGCGGTATCGCTCGTCTCCCTTGTCATGCAGTACATCTACCGTACTCCTCGCAGAGCGCTTCGCCCACTACTTGCCGGCATTCAAGATACACTCAAATTGGCTGGAACCTCGCCAGATATAGTGAAGCAGATTCCTAAGGATCCCCGCTCAGCTTCATCCGAGTTTCGGCTAGACAGCGTTACCCGCTCCTTCCTCTCTTGTCCCTCGTGTCATTCTCTTTATCCCTATAACCCTGGGGATAATCCCTCAGACCCCGCCCATCCCTCCGTCTCTCATTGCACATTCACGAAAACTCCATCGAGCTCTGCATGTGGAGCAGCCCTCTGGATGAGTCATCGTTTGGGGCCGGAGTTGACAATTCTCAAGCCCTGTAGGCGTTATCTTCACCAAGATTTGAAATCTTGGGTGGGCCGTCTCCTATCTCGCAAGGGAATTGAAGATACTTTTGAAAGTGCACCTCGGGGGCCCATCACGGATCCCGATGCTCCCATCGATGATATCTGGCTTTCCCGGGTCTTTCAAAACTTGAAAGATTCAACTGGTCAACCGTTTTTGCCCGGTGCACCTGGAGAAGGGCGTTTAGTCTTCAGCTTTGCGACCGATGCCTTCCATCCATTAGGGAGCAAGACGGCCAAACAAACTATCTCTTCTACTGGAATTTGGCTCGTCTGTCTCAATTTTCCCGAACACCTGCGGTACCTTCAGGAAAACATTTTTTTTGCAGGGGTGATAGAGGGTCCTGAAAAACCATCGAATGAGAAAATCAACCCATATATCCAGTTGGTTGTGAACGACATGCTTGAATTTTGGGATCCAGGCGTTTTTTTCTCTCGAACCTTCAAGTATAAATTTGGCAGATTATATAAGGCTATGCTCGTGCCTGTCATCGCAGATATGCTGGCTCTTCGTCAGGTCATGGGTCTTCCTGGCTCAACGACGGCTCATTACTTCTGCACCTTTTGTGACCTTGACTTTGACGACATCGAGGTCTTTGATCGGGCCGAGTGGCCGAAAAAAAACTCGGACCATATTCGATTTTTTGCAAAGCTATGGAAAAAAGCCTCGTGCGAAAAGCACCAGCAGGCCATATTCGAGGCCACAGGCTTGCGTTGGTCCGCTCTCTTTGATCTCCCGTATTGGGATCCGACGCTGTATGCAATAATTGACTCTATGCATGCTCTTGATCTCAACCTTATTCAAAATCACCTCCGGCTCAACTTTCAGATTGACCCAGATACAAAAGGGGGGGACGGAACGGTATCAGGACCCTGGGTTTCGAAAGATCCGTTGGTATCTTCGAAAAACGACATCAAGGCTCTGGACAAGTGCCAAAAGCTAGTGCAAGAAAACCATCCGAAACTTCTCTACAAGCTCCTGGATTTCAATCGCAAAGTTCTTTACACATTTTGCGTGGAGCACGACGTCAAGGGCCCTGGTCATACAAAGGTAGTTGGAACGAGATGGGTGCTTGCCAGGAACATACATCATTGGGTATGTCTTTTGGAAATTGAGGTCGATAGCAATATTAATGTTCAATTCAGCGACAGGGATCAAATCCTGAATTACTTGCATTTCTATCCTCGGCACTGACTATGGATGGGAGCACGACGGAAGCTAACGATGAGGGAGTAACAGCAGCGAACGGCCCGAGGAGTTCAACGGAAGCAGAGAACATCGAACAAACTGGTGAAAGTGATCAGGAATCCGCTGGCCCCCACTCTCCCCGCGGCGAAGAAAATTTTCTCGATGAGGAGCCAGAGACCGTTGATACTGGAGTCGCTGCAGATGATGTCGACCCGAAGCGTGTCGCACGAGTAATTCGTCATCTCATCGATAAGGATGATCTCGAAGGATCAAGGAAAAAAGCGTACACCTATGCGAATAATCCTGTTTTGATTTACTTATGCGAGCTTTTGGGAATTGATCACGGCCACGTCAATCTAAAGAAAAGAAACACAGCTAAATCTCAGTTGTTCCAGGCCGTCATATCCGCCGTAAGCTATACTTCTATCTCATTGACGAAGCCCACTCTTTAACTTATTTCCAGATAGATAATAACCCGGAAAATACCGCCAAACTTTCGTCCACCCAACCTGAAGTTGGTTCTCGAGCTGTCTTGGGTAGCGATGTCATGGAGGCCGTCTGGGAAGATATGGCGTTCACACAGCTTCCGTCATGGGTCGGTTTGGTGCCTCGCAACTGGGGCACTGCCAAACGGGGGAAGCTTACCGCAGACAACTGGCGGGTGATTTGCACGGTTCATTTACCCATCACCTTAATCCGACTGTGGAAGGACGAAACTGGCCGCAAAGCAGAACTCCTGCAAAATTTCATGGACCTGGCTACTGCGGTACGCATTGCCAACATGCGTGTTTCTTCCAAAAATCAAGTTCGGGCCTATAATTTTCATATTTCTCGCTATGCAAGCGCACTCCCGACCCTTTTCCCAGATGTCTCAATCAAGCCTACTGTTCACGCGGCGCTTCACCTTGGCGACATTATGGACCTGTTTGGACCTGTCCATTCACACAGCGCGCCCTTCTATGAACGATATATCTATTTTTTGCAGCAACTGAACACTAATAAAAAATTGGGTGCATATTCACTCCATATTGATCAGTACCTGTCGCTGATCATGACCCCCCCCCCCTCTCTCTCTACAGGCGATCTGGAAACAACATTCATGAAGGTATCATCCCGAACAGCTAATCTTCGTGCGATTCTTGCCGATGACGAAGCGGTACGCCAAAATGTCATGGAGCTGGTAAAAAGCATAAAGGCAATTGAGCAGGAAGACATCCGTGGCTTCCGCCTTGCAAGCATGCTGGATCCTACGCTACCTGATTACGCAGACTCAAGTCTAGCGCCTTTCACGCTCAGTGGGGAACCATACCAGCTTCTATGTGGCATCTTAGGAAGTAATCCGTTGAACGGCAATGCAGTCCGTCCCCATGCTGAGGCTTTCTCTTTAAATCGCATTGCAAGACGCGGCGTGTCATATGGAACATGCGCATCTCCATCATTCCGTGATAGTGCAATCATTTTTAGGGGGAGTAGCAGTGTCTCACCGCACGCTCATGACCTCCACAAGACGGGAAGGATCGAGAAAATCTTCCAGCATGTCTATCAAGGAATCAAAACATTCTACTTGGTTGTTCGAGAGCACCAGAGGATCGATCCTAGCATCGACCCGTATGTCAGGTTCGGTTTCGCGGGGGGGTATCTATGTGAGAAGGTGCCAAGACTACTCCACCTTATCATGCTCGAACAGGTTGTATCACACTTTGCCATGACAAATCTGCGCAGCGATGGGCAGAAATACCTTATCCATGCCCTACCAATCGATCGGGTACGTCCGATACCGCACCTGGTATCTGCATTACTGACTGTACGCAGCTCATGTTGTCCTTCAAACTATCTGAAGATATTCATGCCGGGGGAACGAATTTCAGCAATGATGAACAGACTAGTACTGCTCCCGTGGATCAGCCCTAGTTTCACTTTCGAGTCCGTATACTTACTTTCCTTCACTGGGTCACAAATTTAAATAGCAGTATTTATTGGAACAGTAGTATGCGAATGTGCCACTGCCTGTACCTGCTGGCCGTGGGCGCATACACTACATAAATCTCAGAAGCGTAGAAAAAAACATGACATTATATATCCAATGGGTGCGTAAGGCTGCGTAAGGAAAGAGCAAAACTAAAGGGGCTTTGTTTTTAACGCGCCAATGTCCCCGAGTCACTGCCGTGGCTCAAGCCCACTTAAGTGCTTGAAACTCGCCTGGTTTCGACGCTGAGGCTTCAGCACCGCGAGATAGGCAGTCTGGTATTTTGCTGGTATTGCTGGATCCCTTCGTGGGTGTTTGCTTTGGGTTTGGCGACAGTATGATGAGGTTGCGTCCACAGCGCTAGCAGGCCAACAGGGACCAACATGTACATGCCGTACGCGTGGGACCTTTGCTTGTTCCATGCGGATCCCCATATATTTACGGACCCACAAGATCTAGATCGGCGCCGGCTCATACCATTACCAAAATGACATAAGTATCCTAGAATTTCGAACCCACTAACATGGCACTGAATTTCGCATATTCGCTTGCCACCAGTCCATCCAGGCTAGATCAAGTGTTCGTGAAGCCACCCAGAATGTCAGGTACTGAGCCCTTCAGAAGAAATTCAGCAATCATATCCACGTGTCCTTGGCAAGTAGACGACATCGTCCTTTCCTCAGATTTGCGGTCGTCGTTGTCTGCAGACCATCCAAATAGGGTATCTCACCATCATCACTCGTTCTCGGACATGCACTGCTGACTTGGAAATAACTTATCACCTAGGAGTTTCTCTCAGTTTTGGCCAGAATTGAACGAGATATATCGACCAGGCAAAACGCGGATAATATCCATTCATTCCGAAAGACTATAAGACTCAATGAGGATCAAGTACCCTGTCGAAAGGTTACGACAACTCCGATTCTACAACCATTTTATCCACCTTTCAAGTTCTATTTCATTCGAACCATTTTGATTTATCGATTGTTTGAAGTCATGATTATCCTTGAAGATGACCCACGAATCCGTTTTGTTCCCAAATACAACAGGCGCAAGGTCCTAGGGTGCGGGCCAAGTTTGGTTGGTCGTTCATTGTATGCAACGAGTTCGAAACGGCGTATGCTTACAGCCTTTTAGGGCTGGGGAAAAATGACAGATTGGACTGAAGCATTGAAGAGTTTTCGAGAGGAAATGTTAACCCTAGGTGGAGAAGGCAACCCTGGTCATTCGGCGGCGAACGTTGACCTCAGCTTGCTGCAATCGATCTCTTCTAAATTGAAACACGGAAAAGCACTGATCTCGATCACAAACATCGAGGCAGCTGGGTTATTGTTGAGGGCCATTTGGAAGGTAGGCGCAATGTATATGGTTGAAATCAATGCCAACTAATTGCCGGCGTTTAGGGATATTGGTCGGATGCCGGTAATAAGGAAAATGTAATTGACTTCCTGACAAAGGCAGAGTATGTTTACTCTCACACTGCGTGGATCCTTCAAAGTTGCTAATGGATGCATCTCTCAGTCACAAACCGTTAGAGAGTTTGGGGGCTCTGGACATTGACGTAATTCGGCAACCTATCAAGGATTTCCATCGTTTAAATCTACCAATTCACGTGGCTGGTTTCCTGTCCCCCTTGGGACTTATCACTGGAGTGCCGTTGTGCAGTCGCGACTACGACCGATACTCAATCTTCTTAGTAAGTCTTTTCGTAAGGCCGTTGTCATTAGCTGGGCTAACGCAACCTCTAACCTCAGATGTGGAGAGCCTTAGGAAATATGCAACCAGATCTCTTACGTTGCATCGAAAAACATCTTTGGCGTGCTATTTTCTTGGTAGCGCAGGGAAAAGAAACAGGACATTCCGCTATGGTAACCTTTCTTGCGCAGGTTCCATGGGAGAAGCTGGGCGGTGTTACAAAAAGTGAACGTCAATGGTTCCACGCGGGTATGTGTCAAAAGTCCCCTCCTACTACTTTGTAATGACGCCCTGTTAGCGGAGAGAAAGGAAATGAGATACCTAGAGGCATTGGACGATATCGATATCCAAGAGCTTCCTCCATCTTGGCCACTGAGGATAACGGAGGATGGCCGTCCCAATAGCGATCAGCATCACAGTCCCGAACCAGAATGTTGTGGCGCTGGTGATCGGATGGTTGAAGATGGTGAGGTGGACGACAGCCGCGGCGACCAAGCACCAGAAGGCCGCCCCAATAGTGATCAGCATCACAACCCCGAACCAGAATGTTGTGGCGCTGGTGATCGGATGGTTGAAGATGGAGCGGTGGACGACAGCCGTGGCGATCAAGCACCCGAAGGCTGCCACCATAGTGATCACAATGCGCAACCAGGATGTTGTGGCGCTGGTTATCGGATGGTTGAAGATGGTGCGGTGGACGACAGCCGTCACGGTGGCGATCAAGCACCCGAAGCCCCCCCCGATCATTATCAGCATCACAATCCCGGAGCAGAATGTTGTGGCACTGGCGGTGAGATGGTTGGAAATGGTGCTTTGGACGACGGCCCTGGCGGCGGCCGCTCCAATGGTGATCAGCATGAACCAGAACGTTGTGGCACTGGCGTTCAGATGGCCGGAAATGGCGCTTTGGGCTGCAGCGCTGACGACCGCAGCGAGGGCACATCTGGAGATCTAAGTGATCTATCTGACCTATCTTCCGACGAAGATGTCCTCCCCCAAGTTGCAGACAAGTCAAAGAACAACGAAGGCAAGAGCTTGGGCCGCAAAACTCCCACAAAAAGCGAAAGGAAAACTACTGCCATAACGGGGATCGGGTCAGTCTCTGAATCAGACAAGGGAAAGAAAAATGCTGGCAAGAGCTTGGGCCGCCCTGGCCGCAAAACTCGCACAAAAAGCGAAAGGAAAATTACTACCATAACGGGGATCGGGTCAGTCTCTGAATGGCCTATCGATGAAGCTGAAATGGAGCGCCTAGCGGTGAGCTAACTGGTTGATTTACTTCGAAGCTTTATAAACCATCGCTAGGCGCCTCGACCCCCGCTAACCCTGGAATTTGACAAGATCACCCGGGTACTTAGCTCTTTAATTTTGGACGCTCATGGCTTGGGGCTAACTCTCCGTATCAGAAATACAAAAGCCCCAAGCAGTACTTGCTTTACGGTCCACATGAAGACAGATCGACCAGTTACATACCATCCTTTCATGTCAGCATCTCACTTTCATACATGTCTCATGGATTTTACCTGACAATTTGAGTAGGCAAAATCAGACCTGGGTCACTTTGACGCAGTGTGGAATTCTGTTTTGCAGCAGTATACCTGTGTGTCTCCTGAAGGACCGCGCCTGCCCCTTCACATAGCAAAACCGGACGATTCAATCTTTTGGATATCGACACATGACGACTTCAAAAAAATGAGTCATAGTCAAAAACAGGACTTAATGCGCAGAAAAAAGGTTCTCGTCATTACTGGTCTGCCAACGGATGGTCTTGCTTTTGATGAAGACGGCATGAGTGAAATTGGTGGGATTGATGTGCCCGTTGACGTGCAGGGTGCGGCCACTTGTTATTATTCAAATTCCCCGCACCGACTATAACGATATTTCTTTCAGATCAATCGATCCCAGCCAAGAACGGCGATTATAACGTCAGATTAAAATTTGGAACTCTCAGGCATCTGTTAGCAAGCGCAAGTTCGCGCGACGGTCGCACTTTGAATGCCCTCAATTTTCCCCTCGCCGTTGCTGATGCGAAACCTGATGGCATTGCCAGTGACCTCGCAGCCTGGATCGCAACTGAAAACACTGCTTGGTGCAACGCTTCCTCCTCCCATTTCCCCAGTCGCGACGTCCGCTGGGGATTGGCCGGCAACACAAATGCTATCCACTATTGGCATATAGATTCAGATGGCTTTGGTACCTTTGTCGAACCTTTGGTTGGGGAGAAGTTGTGGCTGGTGGCACGCCCTTTGGGTGATCCAGATGCCTTTTCCAGAACGGATATCTTTTCAGTCGAACACTATAATATGGAGGGCCCGAACGCCCATATATTTGCTGTGGAAGCCATGCTCCTGGTTCCTGGTACGCGGCTGTGAGTTATATCTTTTGCGACAAGAGGAGAACAGCACAAAAATGACTTTCCACAGGTATATGCCACCTAATACTCCTCATTGGGTTCTGACAGTGTCCCATGCGATCTGCCACGGGGGACACTTCTATTCTAGCGGTTCCATCAGGGAAACGGCTGTCGCACTATATCGTGCATTTACTTCGGGGGGGCATCTGACAAATACTACTCACGCTGCTTCACGCGTTCTTCTCCGACGGCTGGGGTTCTTTTGGCACTCAAATATTGTTCTTGGCGAAAATAGAGGCTCGGGTATGTTCTCTCTTAAACGCGATCTGACTCTCTTACAGTCCTTTTTTTGTAGCCCGTTTTGCTGCCCATGTTCCGGATGTTACGATGTGGGAAGGTGTTTTGGATCTCTTGTCGTTTTGCGCTCTCATGGAGTTGCTTAATGTTGTCGATCAATCGACCTATGAGGTTGCGTCGTCCACAGGCAATTCCGACTCTTCCCGCCCAGCTGATCCAGGAATGTCGCCCCTCCACCGTTTGGAGTGCATTGCTGCACGGAAGATCAGCCGAGAAATGTTGCTACATGTCTTTACCAAATATGAACTTCTGGATTCCAGCGGTAGATCAATCGACAGTGTGCGCGATCTCTGGTGGAAGTATCTGGGTCGGCAACTGAGGTGTCTGGTGGATCTCAAGCTCATGTCTCTGAGGGAAAGTATTGGTGGAGCAAAGGATTGTACGAAGGAAAAGTTTGAGAGGGAAATCGCCCTTTTCTACAAGGGGTTTCCCCGAGAATTCCGCGAGCAGATGGCCATGGCCAACGAGGCGGACAGTTTTTCATGGCCAAAAACAATCAGCTATCAAGTCAGGGCTCTCAGCCATCCGAAGACTGATGTACGCTGTCTATGTGAGGATGCTCCTTACGCTGCCACCAACGTCTGGCTGACAGTGACATGGCAGTCGATCTTTCGGGGTTGACTGGCCAAGACAGATTGTATTTTCAGGCTGTGAAGAATTCACCGTTCAAGCTCGAACCGGGTGATTGGCAATCAGAGGCAGATGGAATGGAAGTCACTGGTGACATGGACGAAGACTTTGAGCCAGCTAGTGATGACCTACTTCCCGTGAAAAGATCAGGTAAGTCAGTCGCGTTGTTAGGTAAATTTATTGACATATGGTTGGATGTCAGCTACACGCGAAGCTTCCGCACCTCCGGGGAAAAGGCGCAGAAATTAAACACCCAATCAATTGCGATTTTCTTTGGTGGCTTTCACATGTCCTTATATAAGTATATACTTAAAATTTTTGTACATAAACGTAATAGGTTTTGAAGAGTTTCCCACGGTGCACATCAACCGTCCTCATTATAATGGTGAATGAACCCCGGCTAGCGCTGTAGCTGCGCGCGAACATTTTCTGCTTACTGCAGCGCCCCATACAGACCTTGGAGCCAGCATGCATCGACTAAAGACGCTCAGAAAAAGCTGGCTAGATCAAATTGTCAACCTTCAAAAAGTTTGTGTCGACTTTCTCAAATCTGGCCTGGTGTCATAAATTACGGCGAAAGCCAAGCCATCGTAATAGTCGGCGAGACAGGATCGGGGAAGACGACACCTAGTGCGCATAATGAATCCCGTCATGCTAAAGCCCTCGTCTGACCACAACTCTATTAGAATCCCGCAATTCGTTGCCTATCCAGACTTACATATCACATATTTTCATGGGTCTGTTGAAAGGTGTTGCCAAGAGGCGGTCTGACCTCAAAATCATTCTCATGCCAGCCCCCCTCGATGCCGTCAGATTCCAGAATTACTTCAGCCTATACGCTCCAACGGCTCAGCCCCACTTGCCAAAGTCCCAGGTCGGTTACATCTAATGGAGGTCTTCTACACGCAAGAGCTAGAACCCTACGACGTGGAGGCCAGTACCCATGATTCATCGCGTTGAAGATGAAGGCGATGTTTTGTTGTTCTTGACCGAAGAGGTGGAAATCGAGGACGCGTGACGCAAGATCTATGCATGGCCGCGAACGGGCTGATCTTGTCCTTGGACAGCTCCAGAAATTCCACAAATCTTGTCTGGCAGAAAAGAGATGTTGAGAAAAGAGATGTTGCTTTGCAAACGCCTTCAAGAGGGCACGGTTCCAAAGGTCTGAAAGAACTTTCTCCGAAGGTGGAAGAAGGGAGGTGCTGATGGAAGGCACAGATTGGGGTCGGCAGGGGGAGCTCGGGTTGTTGAGGGATGAGATCCGCGCTGTTGCTGATCAATATAGGAAGGATAAAATGACGAGGGGGGTTTGTTTTTGTCTTGATGGATAGATCTCCAGTCACTCCAAGTGAATGGCCAGGCCATCGAGATCACAACATCCGAAGGCACAGATGTAGAGCTCGCCTTTGTTTGAACACTGGTTTTCATACCTGCAAACTCTTTCCCAAGGACGAAAATGCTGCACGGTGTCCCAGCGTATCGTGTCCGAGTCCTCACATTGGCGATGAAGTTAATGAAAACGTCAGATGAATTTACATTATTTCCTAATCAAAATGAGCGGTCGCTGACGGCTATTCATGCAGCTGGCTCTATTTAATTCCCAATATGATCTCACGCGCACACATCTTCTCTCTAAACTGGCCGTTTGTGAAAAACCAACCCTACGGGGGTGGAAGCTATTGAGCTGCAAAGGCCGGGCGCTGGACGCTCACGGTACCCCAACCACTCACCCGATATTTCTTCAATGTTGTCTTTTCCAAACACAGGATCATGGTAAACTTGCTTCACCTGCTGCTCAAGATGTGACACTTCAGCTTGCATCAAGGAGCTCTGAGTGAGGAGGAAGGAGAAAAAGAATGTACCCAGATCCATCTGGTACAGAAAACATATTTTCGGGAAGGCCTCAACACACCCTTCCGGCAATCGCTTTCCCGCAAGAAAACAAGCACGGGATCTCCCATCCGTTGTCGATTCTCGCTGGATTTAGACGATTGTTGTTCACAGCAAAATTGATATGCATTTGTTTGTCCAACTCTAGATCTCTCCCACTCCCATCATTTGCACGCCTCTCTCGCACCACCCTATCAACCTCTGTCATTCACAACAACGCCTCAGAAACAATGAAAACCAACCTCTTTCTCAAGGGCGACGTCCTTACCAACTCGCCCCGGCGCAGCGAAGAAATTCAGCGCGTTCTGTGCAACGTTGGGAAAATCAAGAACAACGTAGAGACTTCTTTCGGCGAGCATCAGTGGGCGGTCGTCATATTGTGAGTTCTTACCCTTGATCCCATACTGCATACTAATCATCCTTCAGCAACGGCCTCCATACTTCGAGGACTCGTCAACGTCACTCGACAGTTTTTGGGTTCGTCCAGGGCGGCAAACGCTATTTTTTTCAATGTTGGACAGCCCACATTTTTGAAGATGGACGTACGGAGATGTTCTCCGATTACGACCGCGAGCTCGATCTTCAAGACTTGACGCCTATCAACTGTAAGGCCTCATTTATCTCCCTTACAATTATAACTAAAACTTCTATAGTCGTCGCCCCCAACGGTTCCGTCAAGCACACTGTAATCTACGAAACGGATGGCCGTTATACGATGGAGTAGAGGAATGCGGTCATTCAGTTCGAGCTTTCTTCCGTAGATGTAGCGACGCCGTTTTGTTATCGCGTTAACTTGATTCCTGTATTAATCATGATCATGACATTTGGTGCACGGTAATTATAGGCTGAGAGCGAGTTCAATTCTGACGTGCAGCTTTTATTCATTTTCGACTTCGTTGCAATTGAGAGGAAGCGAGAGGCGGAATTATAGACAACTGGCGAATTTGATATATTGTACTTCCATTCCGTTGACTACGAGATACGTCTTCTAATCAGCCACTCCACCCTGACCCACTCCCCAACTTCCACGCCAAAGAACAACCCGACTTGACAGCCCATCTCAAACGACCTTCAACGTTCCAACGTCCTCTTATCCGACGTAACTGCGCGCCACGTCATCTCAACGCGCGAGCCCCATGCCGATAATGGATCTGAGAGGGAGAATGGGGAGTGGAGGTCGTGGGCGAGATGTAATGGTTGCAATTGCGGTTGAGGACTTACGGGTAAGAGTCTTGAGGACGTAACCTCTAACTTTGTTTTGTCATCAACCTCTCCAAACACCCAACAGCCCTCATTCCCTCCAAGCTCGACAACCTCGGAATAACAGGAAGCACAAGTGGCAAGTATGCATCTATGTACCACACATCAAGACTCCTGAACCCAATCAAGGAGCGGAAAAGAAACATACGTGAAGTTTTATCATCCAACAACCTCAAAAGACAACGACATATCGTCGTCCGCCACTCGCTTCCCAACGCACCATCCAGCTTTTTCAAATCGACAAAAACGAGGACGCCTTTGAAGATCTTGCACCACCCCACGCGATCCTTCGTCCCTGAAAGCAACTGCATCTCAATCCACGAAAGCAGCGCAGATGTCAAGATCAGCGACATGACCGCTTGCAGATTACACATCAGATTCGCCAGAACCTTACGCCAAACGCACATCAGCAACGCATCCTTATGCAACCTCCCCCCATTGAATCACTCACCTAAAGTATCCCCAACCTCGTCCCGGCATCGTCCTCACGCTGCCACAATCTAGCAAGCAAATCCCACCCATGCCTTCTCCTCAACACCCTCCAATAACCCGTCCCAACCATTCTATCAGCAAGCATCCTTACGATCCACGCTCGCTCCTTCTTCCATCCCTCGCTGTCGCTGCTATACAACATCCCATAAAGCAGCGGTACGTCCCCCGTATCCAAATCCGGGCGTTATAAAAGGAATCGCGCGATGAGAGGGTAAGTGAAGTGAGAAGGGTGGAAAAGCACACGAAGGGCGTGCACGAGGAGGAGGGCGGTGTATGTTGGTAGACGGGATATGGTTCGTACAAAGAGGGTGAGAGTGTGTTCTTGAGAGGCGTACTTGTAAATCCGCCGTAGCCATATGTTTGTACAACGCAACGGAGGGGCACTACCTCCCTCATACCCGCATCTTTACTCACCAACATCCTCAAGACGAGTGGAAGATGTTGGTGCGGAACATCTCTAACCACGATATCGCCGACGTGGGCGGGGATTCTGCGAGCCTGTGTCCAAAAAGGAGGATGAGTAAGATGGGGTCACACAGCAGCCCCTCTTCGCCACTTGCCCAACCAAGCAAAGGTCGGGAGTCTATCCATATTCTAGCTCTTCGAAACGACGATGAAGTTGTGAGTTTCTAAATTGTTTGGGCGGTGGGTAGCGGGGAGGAGTCTGGCAAGGCGCTTGATGCGGTTCAAGCCTTGATGCAGAGGTGATGGGTGATGTTGAGGAAGTGCTTGATTTTTCCCAGATGGCGTCGTTTGGTGTTTCAATGAACATTATACCTCGATTCACACGGACGAGAGGCTCGATATGTGTAACTTGACATGTGTTTGTGGGATGGAGGTGGACGAGGGTGTGTAGCGGGGAGATGATCCGTCTCGAGTGGACGATGGAGAGGAGGAGAGTTTGGAGAAATGCGGGTGCTGAATTGTGCTTTGTGGAAGACGGTTTATGATTAATGGCTACAGAAGAATGAGGATGAGAGGGATTAATGATGGGAAAGAGGAAAGTGCACCTTTGATGATGCCGTCGGGAGAGCACCCTCAGCAAGCTTGAGTGCAGAGGGGCTTGATAGGCGACTTTTTGATGACAACTCTAAAAAGAGTCTCTACAGTGTTCGGCTTGGATGCAGACATCAATTAGACCAATTGTACTAACTCGACCGTTAGAAAGGAGTGTCGGAAAGTTCGAACAAAACACGTACTCAGTTCCTCATGATCAACGACCCTCGCAGAACCCTCATCCTCTTCTTTTTCCGAGAACTGCCGCATTGCCTATTGCATCCCCCGATTTGATACGATGGCCTTCGCGTCTTGAACCGCGATTTTGTGGATTACAGCTACCAGGCTGAGTAACTTGGGCGTTCCAGCCGTCGAAGCCGACTTCGCCTCCAGTGTTGCTGTTGCTTGCCTTAACAAAGCTTCGGAATGTCCAGACAGTGTCAATGAGATCAGTTGACAGGCGGCGACTTCGGCTTGAGCTCGTATTGATGACGAAGCCTCTCCATCGAATAGAACGCCCACCAGCCGTGCAAAAACCCACTTCGAAACCTCCCCATCAAGCCCAGAAACATCACCGTCTCTCAACCTCGTAGTATTCCACCAAGCATGCACAGCAGGAACAAGCTGCTCATTTGAACGCCTCAGAGCCTAGTTTGACTATTTCCAGACCTGAGGGGGAGGCCATGCCATCGGTGAAGGATAGGAATGTGTCGAGTAAGGTGAATAGTTCTTCTGGGTTAATTAATGTGTTGAACCACCTAGTAGTACTAGTGCGAATCGGACCTTATTATAAATTGGGTGTCGGAAATGTGAAAAGGAGGTTACAAGAGGACTTACGGAGAGTGATGAATCACTGTCAAGAAGAACGAGTTAGAGCTAAGCGCTAAGCACCGATGTCTGTGAGGGCCTGAGATACGTGGTCAAATGGCTTCAAGACGCTGTTGAGACGCTGGTCTGTCACGTCTGTTGTCGAACGTTTGGCAGTTGCAATGGTGCGTGGCATCGTTGAGTGCGAGTGAACACCCCTTCTTCACGAAGGAGGTCCACGAGAGCAAAGGATTGCAGCGAATTGAGGGCAGTGCAAGTCGAAGTTGAGGACGTCGTCCTAACCTCATTACATACGTATGGCAAAAAGTACTCATGTACAAGATTATCCAAATTACATCTGATTCTCAAGAAAGCGGTAAGTAGTTAGCGTATTACAGAAAAAACGGAGGTTAAGTCATGTCCAGATGAGATGAGACTACCTAATCCTAAATCGCTAAATCGAGGGTATCGCTCATGGGATCAGGGTACGGGTATAAGTAATCCTGATACTTGTACAGCTTCCAGGAGTGTAGAATGCCCTTGACGAAGACCCGTGAAACCGCTAAGATTCGGTAGACGTCCTTCGTCTGGAGGCGGAGAACCCAGGGGTTGAGGATGCTGGTAGTCGATGATGTGTTTGGTAGCTCACGTCCGTTGGTTCCAGACCATGTCCGTAATATCCCGGTGAAGTATTGATAAGGGTTGACGACGAATCAGGTTAGTGTCGAGGTCTCCAGGAACCCCTGCGAAGAGTGTGGATGTTGCTCCCAGCGTATCCGACGGCTTTTCCATGCTTGTCCCACTGTTGGTATCGCATCTCAACCCGTTCGGTCAGCGTCACAGGGATCTGGGAGTCCGAATCTCTAGGAGACTAGGCTTGAGAGCGAGGGTGCTCTCTAAAAGATTTCCGGAATACGGAGAGAACCCTTGAGCTAGCCTTCTTTGGCTGAAGGCAACAGTTTAGGCAACCGATGGCAATGATATGGAAGAAGGCTTACCGCACTTTCCGTCTGGCATAGATGACCTCCGGCTTGACCACGTTCATCTGATGGAGGATGTACCACATGGCCACGATGGTAATAAGTATGGTGATGGCTAGAACGACATCCTGCTGATCTGTCGAGGAGTCAGTGAATGCGTTCAAAAGATGGGGAAGGACAGACCAATACTTGGTGTGTGACGAGGCCGAGTAGTCTGTAAATGGTGAATACATCGACTCCGCCGAAGGACTTGGGGGCGCGTGAGACCTTCTGAGTCGTCGTCTGCATCCTTTTTGTCAGAAGAGAGAGATAGCTCCGATCTCAAGTGACTGTAATTGTCCTTCAAAACTGGTGTGGGATGAACCTCAGCATCGTCCGTCAGTGTCGGATACAAAACATGACTTTCCGCCACTGTGAGTCGCTCACTCCTGTTTCCGAACGTGTACACCCATTATCTTTATCAGTGGGTAGAATCTTCACGCACTTTCGCACCACTCCTGTACGTCTCCTGGAAAGCGGGTTCAATTTTGCACTGGTAAAGATTTTGAACGTTCAGGGTTAATCTGAAAAGAAGTGAGCCTCAGGAATAAACCCATTGAGATGAAGAGGTTGTCACCATAAAAGTGCCGAGGTAATAGAAGAGATTGAAGGCCCCGAGTGAAGAGAGCGCTAGCCGCAAGGCACGTGAGAGGCGTGACGCCGATCACAATATCTTCTTCATATCCTCTGCCTTTCATCTTCGGAAGATATTTTTATTATATTCACAACTGATGCCGTGATCAGATGCTGATGTTATTGATGAAGAAATTTTAAATATCTTCATCATATCCTCGCTGATGTTGTCCCTGAACAATTTATCAGTTTATCTCTGATTTATTCTCAATATCTTCTGTGAATAAATAGGCCAATGCCCCCAGTGAGTGAAAACATGGAATATATTTAATTTAGAGTCTTGGCACTTGAAAGATTTATTTAGTGCAAAAAAATAGATTCAGTTGTGTGACAGGTAATTGTGTGACACTTCAGATTAGAAATACAAAATAGATACAGTAGATTTATTCAGTACAGTAAATAAATACAGTACTACTATTAGTCATGTAATATATACTGAAATTACATGACTAATAGTCAGTAGTCAGTGGGTGACTGAAGTGGTCAATATTGTCAATAATAGTACATTATGTTTCTGTTTTTCTTCTAATTTTCTGGCTATATTGTCATTAATTACCATATTTGGAAATATGCACAAACCAAGTAAACAGTACATCAAAATTATCACATATCATTTGAATTTTTTATTATTTTTCTGCCTATATTTATATTGATTACCATATTGGAAAATATGCACAAACCCTGTATATTGTACCCCAATATTTTCAACAATACTTTATTATTTTAATTTTAATTTTCTAATTTTCTAATTTCTCTTCTTATTTGTTTGGCTGTATTTGTATTAATCACTATATTGACCATATATCTATTTTCCATTTTTCAATTTTCTAGCATTATTGAATTTCCCTTCTTATTTTTCTGGCTGTATTTGTATTAATTACCATATTGACCATATATCTATTTTCCCCCTCTTTTTGTCTGATTTTCTATATATATTTCCATAATGGAAAATGTGCACAGGCCATTAGTAATGGTCTACTATTTTTTCTTCTTTTTTTCTGACAGCAGTGGTGGTGTGGGAAAGACAGATCACATAATATAGAATATAAATAAGTACATCATGAGTCAGATGTTTGTCTATTATTTGTGCTATTGCTTCCATCCCTATCCATTGCTCTTATTTTTTGCTACTCTGTCCCCATGTCAAAGACAATACCCAAACAAGAGCCCTTACTCCTCTCCTTTGTGGAATCCTCTGCACCATTTACAATGGTTTTATATAATATCAAGAACCAATATACTGAATTTCCTACAGGGTGGTGGTGTATTGCATGTTGGTAGTGAGTGCATATTGGGTCATTGTTATGTCCTTGTAATAGTAGTAGGGTGCCTACAAATCTTATGCTTTCCCTATACCATACCTACAAATTACAATGTCCATATCTACATGCAATATGTCTAGACTATCTACAAATGACAGTAACTAGATGATCACTATGAGCATATAAAGTGCACTATTCAATGATCCTCACCCCCCGCAGATGTGTAACACACTATCTATGTGTTATATGTGGGGAGCTGTTGATGAATGTTGTATACACCGCCAATTGGCGCACAGGTTGATGGCGGGTTGCCAAATTTCCTGATGCTCATCAAATCTGTCACCTGTGAGTTACCTGATCCACATGCTGTGCCCAGGCCCAGCTGGCCATCAGCTGGTTCATACATGGGCACCAGCTCCGCTGTAAACGTAGCGACCACCTTACCACAAAATTAGTATAACTGCTAGATTTCACTCAAAGGCAAGGGCTATGTAAGAGACGGTTAATGTAGTGCTTTTGCACTTTGAAATATACATTAGTCGTACGCAAATACAGCTTGTAACCGTGCACAGTGAGCGAAATTTCACCCAAGTCATTTCAAACTCAGACACTCCGCAGGTTCAAATACTTCCAACCCCAGCTCAACCTTCCTCACTCTCACCTTCCGTCTCCGGCACCATTCTTCTCTGTCACCACTGTCAATAACCACCAGCACCCCGCATCAATCGTTCAAATGCCCTCAACGATGCAACACCAGATAACCAGCCCGTCAGCGCACCACATTTCAATGGGATGAAGACGACCTGGCACGCCAGCGGACATGCCACATTGTCCAGACGGTGACGACGCAAATCATTGTCACTGTTCCCTTGAAATAAGGTGAGCAAGGTGACTGCTGTACCCCTTTCCTTTTTTCACATGAGAAAGCAGTGCCACGTCGCCGTCTCAACTTGCAACAGACAAATGCCGACAAACGAGGATGACCAACGATGGTGAATGTCCAGGTGAGTAACACTATACCCCTCTCCCTCCGTTTTTGACTAAAGGAGAGGCCATATTGCCATCGGCAATGATCTACAACAATGAACGACATTGAGGTGAGCAAGACGACACCCCTCCTCTCTTTTTTTCACATAAGAAACAGGGGCCACGTCGTCGACGGCAATGTGACAACTAGCAACAAACCAACAACAATGCACGACGAACACCAAACAACGTCGCGTCACACCCCTCCTTTTTACCTTGTTCGTGCATCTGTTCTAGGTACGTACCCAGTAACCCTTCATGACGGCCTACCAACTCATCCAACGCCTTATTACAGATCAGCCCGCTTGACACCACCACAAACAGTGTCAACCTATATGAGTAGTAGATAAAGTAGCTGTATATAACTCTTGTGTAGCCCGTTGTCAAAATGCAATCTATTCTTTTGTTTATGTTCTCAAATTGAAATAAAGCAAGGTGCAAATGAGGATGAATAAATTTATGAAAATGAGATGTAAACATGTAAACCCCGGTAGCTCATACCCAGCCCAATATACCAGCATTCCCTGAATGACCACCTGTCCTCAACATCTCGCTCCACCCCGGGGACAGGTATCCCTGGTGCCATGCTGTGTTTAGTGCGAAGTTCACACGGCGCCCAGCTGTCAACAGGTTGACGCGACATGGAAACTAGGTGTGATTACATCATTTGATCCAGGTGTCTGTGACCTGGCCACCGTTTGGTGGTGTAGTGAGTCAAAATGATAATGGTGTTAAGACCAAGCTGTGATTGGCTACAATACAAGTCAGATCTTGATTCAAGAGACATTCTGCTAGTATCTAGTGGAGATCATTCATGCTTCAGAATTCCACTGCACAATCCCCACTCCTTCTCTGGAAAATCTACACCAAAAGGTTGGATAAATGAAAGATTACTCCTTCATCTACTGGTGCATATATGTGGTAGTGTAGACAGCTGTATAACTAATACAGCCTTACAGCCTCCCCTACTCTATAATGTCAACCAGGACCTTCCAACATGAGTTGGTGAGGTAAATGAACTGGTAATGTAATCTTGCCTCTGGCTTGGTTTGAACCACCAACCTGCCGACAAGCTGTAATCTTTTATTTAGTGTAAACTGAATGCCTATTCAGTGACTTTGGTGTCACAAGACCCAGTCTATCAGGGCAGGTCTTATCAGATCTGCACTGTTATCTCTTCCTGCATCTGTATCCAACCTCTCAATGAATTTCCAGGGTAGCTTTGAATATCTGGAGCAATCTTAAATCTTGCTAAAATACACCCACATCTAGTCTCTAACCCTCATTCTTCCTCTCTTTGGACTGTAGCTGTGACCAAGATCACAGCTCACAAGTATTAGTTACCTTACCCCACTAATACTGAGCCCCCCGACCATACAAACAGACCATAGTTGATGGTGCCTGCTGATGAGCCCATGGATCAGTTGACCCCATCAAAGGTGGACCGGCCATCAAGACTCTCTTAGGACTGGTACTGTGCATCGGCTGAGAAGTGTACCCCATGAATTGACATAGCTAAAAATGCCTTGGATCCTGGGTCAACCGATCTCTTCATGGATTGGGCTCAACATGTGTCATGGGTCAGCTGAAGAGCTCTAAATCCCATGCATTGTGGATCAGCCCACAGCCGTCTCATTTTTATTTGCCAAGTTTACCTCGGCTTTTCATTGCCGGTCATCATGCAGTTTACTGGGTTGGGTCCATCACCTACCAAGAAGCCGAGCACGGTGACATGGTCAGTCAGCTAGTACCCCATGAATTAAATATGCCTTGGATCCTGGGTCAACCCATCTCTTCATGGAATGGGCTCATGTGTCATGGGTCTGCTGAAGAGCTTTGAATCCCATGCAGCGTGGATCAGCCCAACCTGGTCCCATCCAGTTGACACTATACAGCCAAGTTTCGTCTTCACTCAGGCTTTATTTGCCAAGTTGCTCAAACATTACCTTGGCTTTTCTTTGCCGGTCATGGTCCAGTATTCGGTCATGCAGTTTACTGGGTCCATGACTTCCCAAGAAGCCGAGCATGGTGACGTTCACAAGGCAGTGAGATATATTATGCACACCCCCGGTTCAAAATCCCTACCAAGTTTATACCGACCAATGTTTCTTGTAAACATACCCATGTTGGAACGGGTCTGGCTCAAACAACCGCACTCGGCTGCCTGAAATAAACGCCAAGCTGTTACTATGCCGGTCTCCATTGGACAAAGTTGCTCCAAGATCCCCCCGCTTTTCTCTGCCAGTCACAGTTTACTGGGTCGTGAAAGAAGCCGAGGCCTTACTGCCTTCATTATTATGTCCACCACAGGACTTCATATTAAATATGCCCAAAAGAAAATTGAAGATTGTCCAAAAAATATACATGTATGCTACTAACTATTAAGTAGACGGAGTTTGGACAGTTTGGACATCATTGTTTGTAACTTGCTGGCAGTCAGATTTTTGAATCCTCACCAAGTAGAAGACTTACTCTGTGCGGGGGTTTGAAGTGTGGGTTCGAGTTTCTGTAGCCAAGGTGACTTCCTATTACTCCCAATGTAAGGACCGGGCGAACTTGCCCAGGTTGGAGGAATTGGGTTTGGCGCCAACAGAAGGACCACTGGGCTCTCAGATGCTGGAGGCAGAAAGACGGCCGGGGTTGGAGAGACTTGCGCGTGATCGGTTGAAACTGGGTTTGGCAGAACGACACCCGGGGTCGGGGAGACTTGTACCTGCTGCCTTTTCTGACTGCAGTCGGGTGAGACTGAGCGATCGGTATTGATGCCAGTGTGCTTCTTCTCCTTGTTGCCGAGGAACTGGATAATGAGTGATTCCAGACTTGATTGGCGAGCACCGAGCCGCAGGTTGAGCTCCGAAATAGTAGTGACTGATTTGGTGAGGTCGTGGAGTGTTAGCTCGGCAGTTTCGATGTGGCTTGCAAGTTTCTCAAAGCCCCGGGTGAGACTCTCTTGTAACGCAGCTGGCGTAGTCTCCCACTTGTTCTCCAGTGTCTTGACGGCTTCCCTCACCTCGGCTTCCAGTCTCTGGTGATCACTTCGGATGGACTGCAAATCTTCTTGTGTTTCCTTCCAACGCATGTGGGCAGACTCTTCAATACGGTCCATCCAGCGAGTCGCTCCGGTGATTTTTTCTTCCTGAAACCAAATGGAGGTCTCTAGACTTGCAATTTTCTCCGACTTGTGGGTGTGGGCCAGTGCTTTGCATGGCATGTATGAGTCCTTTCTGTGGACTCTAAATTTAATATTAGGAAATTGGTCATGTAATCACTTTATGATTTTCTGAGTTTTGTTCTATATTTGCAAATAGACCCTGAGCTCTGAGCCTAGCCATCAATATCATAGCAACAATGTGTGCTATTATTATTATTATTATTATTATTTTCATTTTATAGCAAATTTTCCCAATTTTATAACTATTTTTCTGTTTATGGTAAAATATTCCCACAGTCCTGTTTGCATATATCTCAGGAAAGAGGATGGTTAGTTATATTTTGTGACCTATAATAGCATGCTCTATATATTTGTGATGAATTTCCTTTTTTGGGTTAAATTTCCCACGGTATCAGAAGCACAGCCTCTCACTTAGCTCCATAAACAACAATTGTAGCCCCTTTCCTTACCTTTATAGATATATATAAATAATGTCATGCAGACCATTCCTCATTGAGAAAAACACAAAATACTGAAAAAATTGGACACTTTTTGGAAATTGTCATGCATTTTTGACCAATATGTCAAAGAGCAAGAAAGCTGGTCTCAAGATATAGTCACATTGCATGATATGACAATATTTTTACATGGTTGTCTTGATTTCCATATTTGGATATGGACCCTGAATACTGGACACAGCCCCTTCAACACCATGGCAACAGAGAAGATCACTCTTAATTTTTGGGTATTTTTTTCTGATTTTCTGGCAACTTTTAGGTGATTTCTATATTTAGATATTGACCCTGAACCCTGAACACAGCCTCCCCACCTTACTAAGCAATATTCTGATTTTTACATATTTTTTGCTGATTTCTTTTACCATTTTTCCTGATTTTATGGCTGCTTTTCTGTTTAAGGGAAAAGGTTCCTGCGGTGATGAAAGGTAAATGAATCAATGAATGAAAAATTTGCCTAAGTCCTCAGTTGATAAAGAATGAGTCTTACTCATAAACTCGTAAGGACTCATAATTTTTGACACTTTTAACTGGCAAAACATGAGGCTTGGGCATGGATTTATTTATTACGTAGAACAGGGACGTCTGTCAACATGTCAGGGTCATAACTGCCATTAGGATAGGATCGTGGTCTTTCCTGTCTGGTTGCACCCGGCCTTTCAGATCAGTTCTGCTCATCCGGGCTTTCAAACAAGACTCGACATGAATTTTTTTTTTAAGTAAAAAGATACAGGTGGTAATGGTATGACATATTAAGAGACCCGTGTTATGCCACATGCCCTTTCATAATAGGTGAAATGGGGGTTTGGATAGAGTAAAAAGGACATATGGTAAGGTAACCCTCTCGCCGTCGTCATCGATGATGGTCAAGAGTATCGTCCCCTAATCACCATGTTAGTGGGAAAAAGGAAGTACAAAGGGGATTGCTCACGTCTGGCAACCTGCCGGTGGAGTCTACGGTTGCAAACATGAGGCCACCGCTACTCATATTATACCAGACTCAGGTTCCTTTCTGACGAATCATCAGCTGGTTACGACCAATGGAGATGTACAGAACCTACGGGGTATGGGTTGGGTGGAGGGATACCCAACAGACTCCAGATTGTCATGGGGGTGAAGTTATTCATGTCGCAGATGAGGGGGGTGAAGATGGGTCCTTGAAATGCGAGAGGGTTTTTAAAGGGGGAAACACGCATGTTTTCAGGTTAAATTACAACCCTCGATGCAACCCTATATCAGAAGCATAAATGATGGCGGCACAGGCCTCAAGGCCAAATTGCAAAAAAGAGTTGAAAGAGTCATAAACATAAGCATGGCCGGGGATTGAACCCGGAAGCTGGGGATTGAACCCGGAAGCCAACTACCATTAGACCATGCTGGCTTCCAAAGATTGTTGGTAAATCTGGGATAAGGGGTGAATTCTTGATTTCGTACTCCAATTGGTCTCATGTCCGGGCCCAGCTTGAACTGTAGTTTAAATGCCGAACAAGTCAGTGCTGAGTTTATAGGACCGGGTTCAATCACACCCAAACAAGTATTTGACATGGTCGTCAGCTAAGTTACATTTTTTTGCCGGACTTGGCCAGGCACCGGGTTGTCTTATACACCGGGTTCACCCCCCGAACAAGTCACTGCACAGAATTTGTCCTTTTAACTGCTGCTATTAGAGTGACATGGTCGGCAGGTAAAAGATACTGACCAACATTGTCTTCAACGTTGGCTTGGCCTAGTAGTTAAGCTGGGAGGTGTACGTAGTATATGTATGTATGCCCTGGGTTCAAATCCCGAACAAGTCATAGATTCACATTTTGAAAAGTTTTTTACTTACTGCAGGTAAAAGATACTGACCGACCTATGTATGCCGGTTTAAATCCTAAACAAATTTTTTACTTGCTGCTATTAGAATGACATGGTCAGCAGTTAAAAGATACCGACCAACATCGTCTTCCACCGTTGGCTTGGCTTAGTGGTTAAGCTGGAGGTGTACAGAGTGTATGTATGCCTGGGTTCGAATCCCAGAAGTCACTTGCAGCGATCGCAACTCTTTCGTTTTTGTAACTCTGGCTAAAATTTACTAATCAATTCTTACCGAGCTTGCAGACCCAGGTTAGTTGTCTTACGCTGGGTAAGTTACAAAGTGCCGAGCTTTCAGGCCAGGTGGATCATTGACTTGGCTCAGTGGTCAAGGTGGGAGGTGTACACATTGTATCTATGTATGCCCTGGGTTCAAATCCCTAACAAGTCATGCTGTTCATCCTAAACAGTTTTTTACTTACTACTATATTAGAGTGACATGGTCGTCAGCTAAAAGATACTGACCAACTTCCTCTTGCAGTGCTGACTTGGCTTAGTGGTTGAGCTGGGAGGTATGTATGCCCTGGGTTCAAATCCCAGAAGTCACATAGAGCGAAGATGGCCTTTTTGTAACGCTGGCTAAAATTTACTAATCCAAGGCTTGTAACATCCAAAGTCCCAAGAATGGGTAGTTGTCTTAGTTGTCTTATGCCGAGAACGGGTGACTTACAAAGTGCCGAGCTTGGACGCCCGGGTTCAAATTGCAGGCAGGTAAAAGATACTGGCCACGATCGTCTTCCAACGTTGGCTTGGCTTCGTGGTTACGCTGGGAGGGTACGTCGTGTATGTATGCCCTGGGTTCGAATCCCACAAGTCAGTTACACCTATCGCAACTCTTGTTAAAATTTACTAATCAATGCTGGTTTGACCGATGTTGTCTCGGATCATGAAAATTTGAACTGCAAGTTCTGCCTGGTCTGCCTCTGCTTGGCTGCTAAATTAAAGGCCAAGCTGAAAACGATTCAGCTTGAAAATGCCGGCCTTGGTGATGCATCGGCTGATGAGATGTTCATAAATTCTCGTGTCCGGCCGACTCGGTGATATCCATGAACCATGACTACCATGTGGGTCTCGCCAGCTGACCCTGGTAACCAGAGTTGAGGGCCCTCGGCCGACCACCAACCCAGGCGAATTCAAAATGTCTGCCGACCTTGCATAGCCTAGCTGCTAATCAGAAGTGAAGGCCCTCGGCTGATCACCAACCCAGCAACGTTCACAACTGTCAGCCGACCTTGCATAGCTTATCTTCCATCAGCCGATATACAAATACAATGTTCAAAACTGTCAGCCGACCTTGCATAGCTTAACTATCTTCCATCAGCCGATATACAAATACAATGTTCAAAACTGTCAGCTGACCTTGCATAGCTTAGCTATCAGCCGATATACAAATACAGGGACTTGACTTCCCGGGGCAGCTTCCTACTGATCGGTGTATGCTAAATCTACGTAGCTGGCCGACCCTTCTTTACCTTGATAGTGGGATCACATTGGCCAATTCATCAACACAGGGTTATTGGCCCTCATCGGCCCATCAGCAGGCACCATCAACTATGGCCTGTTTGTATTGTCAGGCCTCTCAGTGTTGGTGGGTGATTCCTACTAACTGCCCTGCACAGCTGGGTCTTCGTTCCATTGTCATTCCAGCTTGCCATACCACTTTCATTGACAGCTTCCACATTTAACACACATATAATCCATTAGACCACCTAAATTTGAAATACTACTAGAATAAAATCAGAAAGAAATTGGATGGGGTAATGTTTACATGGTCTGTGCACAGTTCCATATATAGTAATTACTGAAATTACAGCCAAAAAGTCAGAAAAAAATAAGAAAAGAAATTCACATGCTGGAAATGGTCATTAATAATGTTAATGTGTTGTTTACTTGGTCTGTGCACATTTCCAAATATGGTAGTTAGTGAAAATATGGCCAGAAAATTGATGTCTGACTCTAGCTGATATGGTTTCACCTGATAGGCACATGATAAATGCATCATATAGTTGTTCATATTGTATATCACATGATACAGTCATATGATATGACATGTGATCAATCATGTGATATAGTAGTCATGTGATGTGATCATGTGACAATGTCATGTGGTCTGATTATGTGATGTAGATCATGTGATATGTCATATAGTCTGATCATGTGACATATCATGTGATAGCCATCAAAGATTTTGGCACTTATGTCGTCGAATTTAAGAGGATTCGTCCCCGTTTGGGGTCGTGGGAGCGATCCAGGAGATCCCTGAGACTTTTCAGGATCGTTCCTCAGACCCTATTTGTGATGGTCACACCTATCAGCTGATGGCATCTAGGCACGTGCTTCCCTGCCTCGCCCTTTGGGCCTCCAAAAGGCGCGTCCCCTTCTTCCTTTTTTCTCTTTCCCCCCTCAGCGCTTTCTGTGTCTCAGCCTCCACCGTCGACGTGGGCGTCGCTTTGCCTGCGTTTTTCACGCTTTCCGCTTTCTCGCCGCCCTTGGGAGGGGCTTTGCCCTGGCCGTGCCTATGGGCTTTTCAGTTGTTATCTCTTGGATCTGCCTCGACGACTTGCCTTTCTTCACCATTCTGGCCCTGTCGCTCTCCCTTTCTCTCTCGTCTGGGGGCATTCCTTCGACGTTCCTCTATGTTCTCTGCTGCGAATCTCGTACATATGTGGGTGGATCTTCTTTTGATTCCCTGCAGCTTTCTAATCTCTCATCCCTCTCAAAGGTTTCACATGCGCTTTGGGCACTGGTGAGATGCCCTCCGGCAGCATCTCCTTCTTCGACCTGATCTCCGCATCGCGTCCATGGCTCTAGGATAGGTTCTGTGGCGTGCACCTTCGTCGCCCGTCCCTGGCAGCTGCTTTGCACCTTTGTCGTCTCAGCGCCCCCCATTTGTTGGGGGGGAGGACTAGTCTGCAATCTGCGAGCCGGTTGGAGCGTGTCTTCCTTGACTCGCCTGACGCTTTGGTTTAACCGAGTGCCAGCGAGCGAGTTGCTGCTGACTTCCAGCCATCTTTGGCAGGTCTTAAGCTGGTTTGTGAATACGGCGCACTTTGCCCACTGGAGTATCGGCCTCTGCTGATGTGGGCGTTGCGCTAGGGAGTCAGTTTTGACTATCCAGTCTGTTCAAGCCCACTGTGTAGATGAGTACGACCCCACAATTGAGGGTAAGACCATCCCCAGATTTATCCTTCAGACACTTACCCTGTTGCGTAGATGAGAACCAAGGGCAATGCATTACCGACGGTAAAGTTGCCTTGCTTGCTGCTGGCCAGGAGGAATATGGGTATGTGTCTACAGTCTCGTTAACAGTTTCTATAAATTCTTCCACATCGTGTTTTGCACAAATCAATGTCGCTCTTGCTGAGGATGAGGACACAGTGTTTTATCTTTTATGCCGCTAACAGCTTCAATGACAAGTTTGTAACTCGTTCGCTAATTTATTTTTACAGCACTATTTATTTTCAGAATCAGTATGGTACATCATTAACATTAACTAAAAGTGTTAAGATACGAGAGTTTACTAGTTGCGTGTTTTAAACGGTGAACATTTCTCTTACCCGCAGCTTTTTCCATTGTGCTGACTGTAGCTTGGGACCTAGTCAACCTTGCCACGTTTGTGCGTTAGGATTTTCCCTTCTGCTTGCCCTTTGGCACGAATTGCCTGTAGGAGAGCAGTTATCCCACTCTCGTGTTCTGGGTAGGCATGTTTGAACAAGTCTTCATCTTGCCCAAATCTACGCACTTAGTGAGTGCATGTACCTTGGATTGGAAGAGCACGACTTACTCAAGAATGAATTCCAGCGCGATCGTTCTACGCTGGCCCCATAGCTGGCTTTGGCGGCTCGATGCGTGCCACTCGTGTTTCCAGTTCTTCAGCACTGTGAAGTGCTTCCGACCTGGATCGGGAAACTCCCAGTCACGGACAACCTGCTTCCAAGCTTTTGCACCAAGCTTGCGGCTAATGTCGGGTACCACAGCGGATGGCTCAATGGGAATTGGCAACCCCACACCTGCAGATGTGGCATTCATCAACGAGGAGTTTTGGAGGGGATACATGGCAGGCCCATGGTTGATTGCTGCAGACTGAAATCCGTTCGTTTGGTGGTTGAAGGTTGCAGTGCTGGGGCTGACGAAGGGTGTCTGTGGTGTGGCAGATGGCATACCAGGAGGGTATTGTGTGCTTGAAGGCATGACAGGCCACGCATTTATCAGGCCACGCATTTCATCGAACATCCGGCGCTGCTCTGCTGCCTGGGCCGCGAAGAGTTGAAGCCCTTCTGCCGCCGTCAGGGGTCATGTTTCACCGGCCTCGCCCATATGCGACATGTTAGTTTCATAATCGACAGGACACAAAGCGTCACTGTGGTCCTCCTCGTATGTGTACAGTTCGTCTAAAAGGTACCTAATTAATGTATTGCGCTAGAAGCGAAAGGATAAACATCTGTTTAGTTTATAAATTTTTTACGCACGTGTTCACCAATGGCCCACCCACCCCACCAACGAATACGGGCCAGCGTCCAATGTTGCCCCATTGGTGCGAACATGAAACGATACTGGGCACCCCCACGATGAAAGCAGTGAGTGGTAAAGTGAGGTCTTAGCAGTGCCCCCCCTATTCCTGCAGGATTCCGGTCATTCCGGTGGAATTCCGGTGGATTCCTGTGGAATGGAATTTAGCAGAAGGCCCTGCTAAATTATTTATTCCGGTGTTTTGCATTCCAGTGGAATTCTGGTGGATTCCGGAATGTACACCGGAATGTTCCCCGGAATGGTCTTCCCCGGAATGGGCAGGAATGGAGTTCCCCGGAGTGGGCAGGAATGGAAATCCTGTTTATTTTGTTTATTTGTTATGTATTATAGTTTATTTATTTTCGATGAATAACAAACAATGCTTGTTTGGCAAACAATGCTCACCAAACATACTCTCTCCTTCCACCACCACCACCACCACGCTCATCACCGCCGCCAACGCCACGCCATCGCCATCACCCATAGCTACCACCGCCCACGTCACTCGTCAATTACCCATGGCCACGACGACCAGTAAAATCGACCACAACACCATTCAACGACAACGCGGCGATGCCACGTCACAAAACAACGAGCACCAGAACCCACGAAAACACCCAACGCCCACGAAAACAATGCCCCCGGACACAAAACCACACCCAACGGACACAAAACAATGCCCACCACCCACGTACACCGCCAGCACCCACGAGAACCATACCCCACCCACGAAAAAACCCCACCGCCCACCAAAAAACACGAGCGCCCACCGAAAAACATGCGCCGCCCACCGAAAAACATGCGCCGCCCACCGAAGAACACGCGCCGCCCACACGACACACGACGGCACCACGCCGCTTACCAAAACCACCATGTACACGCCAACGCCGCCCACAACGATGCCCCCAACGGCAACCAGCACCCACGACGATGGCGACGGCGATGACAACACCCCCGACAACGGCAACGACAACACCCACGAATAACACGAAAACGCGGACACACGACGAAACATGCGACGAGGAGGCAGCAACGAAATGCGACACAACGATGGGATGCCAACGCGAGACGACGATGGCCTAGGTCCTAGCACACTCCCTCTCTCCTCCACCATTCCCTCCCTCCCTGCTTCCTTCCCCCTTTCCTTGTCCCTCCCCCTTGCTCCCTTCCCCCTTGCTCCACCATTCCCTCCCCCCTTCCCCCCTCCCTCTTTCTTGTCCTTCCCCCTTCCTCCCTTGTTCTTCCCAAAATATAAATACACTCCCACCTTGTCCCTCCCCTCCCCCCTCCCTTTAAGATAAACTGTGTAGTGTGTGTAGTAATACATTTCAAATACATTACAACTCAATCTATGAATTCTACATGTGAATTTTATAAGGAAATATGAGTACCAAGTCATCAGAATAAGGTTGGAGTTGAAGAAAAATTATTCTGCTTGATTCCAGTCCTATTCCAGAGGAATCCCAGAAGTGTATATTAGTGTAAATTAACATATACTTGCATTTAAATATAGGTTTTATACCTTATTCTTCTCATATCCTGTCTCATTCCTGTGGAATTCCCCTGGAATACACATGAATACACAGGAATTCCACAGGAATACACAGGAATTCCACAGGAATACACAGGAATTCCACAGGAATACACAGGAATTCCACAGGAATACACAGGATTCCACAGGAATTCCACTGGAATGACTAGATTCCTGCAGGAATAGGTGGGGCACTGTAAAGTACTGGGTAAAGTGACCAGCTCCTGTAATCCCCGCTGCTGCAGCCCACTCATTGATTCTTTTCTGGACAATATCAGATGAGACGGGAATGTGGGGGTGTGCCACCAGTCCGTTCACGCCTAGTGACGGAAATATGTAGTCGTCGGGCTTGAGCTTCTTTCCAAGAAGGTGAGTTTCGTAGAACTCTTTCCAATTCCACATATGCATGTACAGATCAATCGCAGGGTTGTTTGGTTGGGGGTAGACATTGTAGGTGTGTCCTGATGGATGTTCGTTAGGGTAGAGACTGGAAGAAACAAGGCCAACACAAACCATTGAGTCCGTTCTCTCCATTCTTTGCCTTTTTTTGCCAGTTCTTACGATTTCACAGATTAATCTTGATATATGGTAAATTGGGTTTTCCTGGGCGCGGAGGCGGGTCGAAGTCAAGGTGTTTGGCTTGAACGCTTGTTGCTTCATTCACACTGTAAACATGTTGTAAATGGCAGAGCTCTTA